CGGTAGCTTCTTTGCCAATCCTCTGGTTGGTAGACCTGTCCTTTGGTGAGAGTGGCGTGTTAAAGTCTCCTAGTATTATCGTATTGGGATCTATTTTATTCTGTAAGTTTGAGAGCATTTGTTTAACATATCTGGGTGCACCGATATTTGGGGCATATAAGTTGATGATGGTTATATCCTCCTCTTGGATTGTTCCCTTTATTAATATGTAGTGTCCGTCCTTGTCTTTCTGTACTGATTTTAATGAAAAGTTTATTTTGTCAGATATCAGGATAGCTACACCTGCTTTCTTATTGGGGGAATTTGATTGGTAGATCCTTTTCCACCCCTTCACTCTGAGTTTGTTTGTATGTTTGGCTGAGAGGTGGGTCTCCTGAAGGCAACAGATGGATGGGTCTTGTTTTCTGATCCAGTCCTCAGTTCGTTTTCTTTTAATTGGCAAATTCAGCCCATTTATATTAAGAGAAAGTATAGAGAGATGCATTGTTGTCCCTGCCATTCCATTTTCCTAAGTTTTTCTTCTTTCCTTTCCTCCTGTGCTTGCTCAGTTAGACTTTGAGTAATGCCTGTTTGGGGCAGGTCCCAGTTCCTGGTTGCTTTCTTCAGGTTGTGTCCCCCCTCTTAGAATTCTTTGTAATGCTGGCTTAATGTTTATGTATTCATTTAGTTTTTCTTTGCTATTAAAAGTTTTCAGTTCTCCATCGAATGTGAATGCTAGCTTTGCCGGGTATATCAGTCTGGGTTGGCAGTTATTGGCTCTCAGGGCTCGTATGGTGCTTTCCCAGGCTTTTCTTGCATTCATTGTTTGTGTGGAGAGATCTGCAGTGATTCTAATTTTTTTCCCGTTGTAGTATAGCTCCTTCTTCATTTTTGCTGCATGCAGGATTGTTTCCTTATTATTCAGATCCATCATTTTTACTATAATGTGCCTAGAAGTGTTTCTCCTGGGATCTTGCTTGTTGGGTGTTCGGTAAGCTTTTGTGATGTAGTTAAGATGGTTGTTTTTGAGGTGGGGAAAATTTTCATTGACTATCTTGTTAAATAGGTGTTGCATTCCCTTGCTCTGGAATTCCTCACCTTCGTCCACTCCGATTATGCGAAGGTTAAATTTTTTAGCATTATCTGCTTGCTCTTGAATTTCCCTTTGGTTTAATTTGAGTGATTTTTCCATATCTGTCACTTTTTGGTCCAGTTGGTGTATTCTGTCTTCTGTATCTGACACTCTACCTTCCATTTCATTCACTCTGTTGACCGTGGCTTCTATTGTGGTTTGCATGGTGGAAATAGATCCCTTTATGGATTCAATGTTGGTTCTCAGAGTACTGATCTCACCTCTCAATGAGGTGAGATCAGTATGCATTACCTCTAATTTGGCGTTTATCTCACTTCTTACTGAGGTTTGTGCAGCTTCTATTTTTGCATCCAACTTTTGTTTGATATCCTGTATATCTTTTGATAGTTCATCCTTGTGCTCTTTCAATTTCTGATCCATTTCTCGCTTTATTTCTTGAGTCATTGCCTCCAGCAACCCTTGGATATAGTTTTTGTCTTCCATTCCTGCTTTGCTCCCACTGGGGCTCTCCCCTGCGTGGCTGCTGGCTTTTGAGGTGAGCTTGCTGTCCTGGGTAGTGGTAAACCTTGTGATTTTTCTCTGTGATTTTCGCATGGGGGTTCAGGAGACTGCTCTTCAATCTTGTTTTGGTGTGTCTGTCTTTGCTTGGTTGCTGATTCTGTATTGGTAGAGAGAGTCTGTGCCTGATCTGGATTCTGTTGGGAGCCTATTTCCAGCTGCTATTCTGACTTACTTAGGATTCTCAGCTCTCTGCTGTAGCAATTCCCGCCTTTGGAAGGGTTGAGCAGCCTAGACTGCTTGTGTTTGCTCCTGCGGGTGCTCTTGGGAAGATCAGATGCTCTGGATGCACTCTCCCAAATACTGGAGTCTGCTATGGGCTCCTGATGTGTTTTTGTTTGTTTGTTTTGGGCTGGTTGTGGGCTTGAACTCTAGGTTTGGGTGCTGTCCCTCAGCTCTTCAGCTCAAGGCTGGCACCCTACCATTTGAGCCACAGCCCCACTTCTGACCCTTTTTGCTTTGTTCAGGCGCCGGTCCCCGGGCCTGGTTCCGGCCCCAGCCTGGAGCGCGCTCGTTAGGCCTGTGCTAATGTGTATACCACCTAGGTTATGCAGCCTGGAGGACACAGTTCAAATTTCTTCTACTGTTGGTAGTCTTGACCCAGGGGCACTGTTCCTGGCTTGGGCATTTAAGCTCCCTTCCAGGGGCGCTCTTGCTCTGGCCTGGCCAGCAGAGTGTGCTCCACCGGCTGGTGGAGCTCTCGAACAGTTCCCAGTTTTAGTGGGTCCTGTGGTCTGGGTGTTGGGAGTCTAGGTCAGGGTCTGGGGATTCCCTCCAGCTCTGGTCTCCCTTGAGGGATTCACTGTCCCCTGTTGGGTACTCACCCTGTAGGTCGTCAGTTGTTGTTGCAATCCGAGTTCAGTTGGGGTGGTTGCAGGCTGGGTTGGGCGGCCCCCGCCGGGTAGTTGCGATCGCGGTTGGGCGGTGGTCTGCCGACAGGTCCCTTTGTCGCGCTGCTGGTGCCGGGCGGCTTTGGCGGGATGGAGCCTCTCCGCTCCGGTGGAGAGTGAGGGGTGGGGGTGGGATCCTCGTGGAGACTCCCGGCTGGTAGGTTTCTCTGTTCCTGGCGATCAGCTGTTCTGCAATCCGGTACCTGGTGATCTGCAAGCAGCCCCCTGTGTCTCTCTCTGTGGCTCCGGCAGCCCCCGCCGGGCCGGCTGGCCGGCGGCTTGGCGCACTGCCGCGCGGCCAGTAAAGGTTGGGGGAGGGGTCTTTGCTCTTCTCTGTTCTGAAATTCTTCTTTTCCTCTCTTTCTTTTTTTGTTATTTTCCACCTCTGGTTTTTCTCTGAGTGTTCGTCTTTTTGTTGTTGTTGGTCTCTTGGGGAGATTAAACATTGGAACTCGAACTCTCTTTTTGGTTGGAGAGAGCTGTGGCGTTTCCCTACTGCCCCGTCGCCATCTTGGTCCCCCCTCGAGAGCAAAGTCTTGAAAGGATAATTGACAACCGAAGAGACAAAGTAGGATTCCCTTGGAACTGTTTTTGGAACTGTGCTGTAAGGATGAATGTGCAAAGGAAAACTACAGCCTCATTAAGCACCCCTGAGCCATAGATCTTCTTTTTACTAAAGTCCTCCCCAGACTGACTTGCTTTCTACAAGAGAACAAAACAATGAAATCCAAGGAACATCTTGTGTGTAAATGGGCAGAGTATCATGAAAAGGTTAGAGTCATGAAAAGGTTCCACAAAATATGTAGTACACAAAAGCAAATTTCCAAGTGCTTTTTCTAGAGGTCCATCTTTCTTAGCAGCTCACTCAGCTGACAACAAGGTAACAGAGTCTAGATTTACACATTAACTTCTAAGAGGAGATTTAAGGGTCCAGGTAAATAAGAAGCTCAGCCAACACAATATTTACTCCTATAGTTTTGGGACAGAACAGCAAGCCCAAATTCAAGAGATTTCATATAGTTAATCAGGGTTAGGTAACTAGAAAACTGTGTAAAACTTTTGTTGCCAAAAAAAGGAAAGATATTCAAAAAGATGGCTGATAGTCACATTCTGAAAGAAACAGGAGAGAGAATTAGGACAAAACTTCAATACTAAAAATTATTAATGCGAGCTTTGTATAATTTCTATAAGATCTGAAAATGTAATAGTTTAAGGGTGAGATCATACTAAAAGAGTGAAAATATTTTCATATAAATATTGCCACTACAAAATTTTGAATTATATTTATAGCAGCAAAATATAGAATTAAGAGCAAATAGAATAAAACATCTGAAGAGCAGAATTACAAAATCCAAACTGAATCTAATGGAAGAAGAAAAAATATGACTAGATTAGACAAAATTACTACCTTGGCAATGAGATATCTATCACTAAGTTGACCAGTGTGTTTGAAGGAAAAAAAAAAAAACAGAATGAATTGAATGGCAGAAAAAGGGACATGGAAAAATTCTTGGAATAATAGACATTCACTCTTTCTTGATTTATATACCCATCAATTGAACATTTAAAATGTGTACATTTTATTGTATGTAAATAATATCTCAGTGAAGCAAAGTTAAAACAAAAAAAATCTAACATTGAAGAAGTCTAAAATACCAAGAATGAAAGTTTTTAAAGCAACTGAGAGAAGAGGTTATACAAGTGCAGCAAACACTTTGATTGCATGGAACATACAAAATAAGATTTGTTTTAAGGTCAATAATAATTAGGTATATAATATAGTTTATAAAATTCTATGTTCATTGCTGTCTGTATTTGCTTTTGTTTTCTTGGATTACATCTTTTGGTAATTCAGTGTGGATCTATTCATTCTTTCAAGATGCTCTGTTTTCATTTTGTGTATATGAAGTGCTTTATTTAGCTATCAGTATTAAATGGGTATAGGACAAATAGTATTAAAGAAATGTTTTTTATGTCATGGAGGAAAGTTTGGAAAGTACTAGAATAAATTTCTTAGAGGCCAAGCAAAAATTATATTTTTTGTTAATAGCACATGTCTGTACAGTGGAGTGGTCACCAGGTATATCTGGAAGAGTTCATCCTTGGACAAGATATAATTGCTGTCTTTTAATCTAATTCTCTCAGACAGAAGGGATACCTACCTATAGTGTTTAACTCTCTCAGGTTTCCTACTGGTCCATATTGACTTGATATATTAGATAGACTTGAAAATTTTAGAATTGTCTTTTGCCACCAAAATTCTTTAAGATCACATTTATGTTTGATCTAGCTTAGCCAAACAAAAAAGAAAGTCTTGATATGTCTTCTCCAATTCTGTTTTTCTCAATTACAAAGTACCTTCTGAATAATGCTATACTCAGGGCTTTTCCAAATGTTATTTAGGTTGTAAAATATTTTATATAAGACATTGTAAAAACCATAATACATGTGTCTTTTATGAAAATTTGCTATAATTCCAGCTCAAAATGAAAATGAAAAGAGGAAATCTTTGTATCCTGTTGACTTCAAATCGGCAAATGAAAGGTAATTTACTTTTGAAAATTTTAACTTATGTTTCTCTGTACTAGGGATTGAACTCGGGGCTTCGTGCAAATTGCACAAGTAACTCTATTATGTGAGTCACTCTTTCAGCCTTGCTGTCTTTGCTGTCAGTTGGGGAAAAGGAGAGGAGAAAGTGATGAGCAAAGGGTCCCTCACCTCTGGTCTCTGCCTTTGCTGTGGCAAGCCCTACACCTCGATGTTCTGTGACTGCTGACAGTCTATTTTCTCCAAACTTGGTCAGGGTCCACTCTCAAATCTTACTCTGAGCCTATTCCTTTAGATGAGACTCTCATCTATGTCAGCCCTTTGCTCCAGGTCACCTCAATCCTGATGGACAAGGCTCTTGGCAAGCCTAGATATTCTAACTCCCATGTGAATCATGGGAGACCTGGAATGCAAATGTCTTCTTGCATCCTCTTCACGAAACTGAAGCCACCCTCTGTTGGCATGAAGTTGTCCTGCAAACCTTCTCTCAGACTCTCAGCAAAAGATGGGGCCAATAGACCTCCACCCGTGCTGTTCTCCTCCATCTACACAGCGTAGTCCCTCCCCATACAGAAACAAAGGATGGTATGTTGTTGAGCCTAGTGTTGTTTCTTCCCCCACTCTTGTTTTCTCCCCAAACTAGGCAGGAAGGACAATCCTATTCGTTTAAATGTTTGTGGGATAGGGATAAGTAGAGATGTAATAAGTTCGTATATGAATGTTTCACTGAACTTGTGTTCATTTTCAGAAGATCATTTCCTCTACCGATAAACAATTGTAGAACAAGAGAAAATAGAAAAATCAGGAATCGTCCATTACATAAATATCATTCGGCAAAGAAGGAAGATTTGATCCCCTTGTGCATTGAAGATGAACTGAAAAACCCAAAGGCCAAGATAATCGACATAAGTACAACCAAGAGAGGAACATCTCACATGGTAATAGCTACCATTGTTTAGTAACTACTAATGCTACAGGCCTCTAAGAAGGATAGAGAATACCTGGCTTAAAAGTCAGAAATCACCCGCAGTCACAGCCTTAGACTGCTTGGTGTGGGATTGGTCCCTGCCATTATCTATCACAGGTCAAGCTCACAACTCTGTTGTTGGAGGAGTTACACTTTCTCCAGTCTGTCCGCCTGACTTTCACCAACTTGAGTGTTTTTCACAGTCCCTCCTGTTTCTAAAGTAAAAAGTCCGAACAGGCATACCTGGGTCCCATGCCTAGACCGTGACCCCAGCAAGGCTGCAAAAGATAGTTTCTGTCTCTAATGGGTACATAAACTTTAAGTGGAAAATTCCTTCAGGTGGTGGACAGGCCAAAAATATGGCTAATGTCCACCACTGTGGCTAACTCTAGGTACTGTTGTCAACACCAGTGATTGAAAAGCTAATCTTGGGCTGGGAAGGTGGCTCAGGGGTAGAACACTTGCCTTGCATACATAAGGCCCTGGGTTCAATTCCTCAGCACCACATAAGCAGAAAAAGCCGGAAGTGGCGCTGTGGCTCAAGTGGTAGAGTGTTAGCTTTGAGCTGAAGAGCTGAGATGTGCCCAGGCCCAGAGTTCAGGCCCCACGATCGACAAAAAAAAAAAAAAAAAAGAAAAGAAAGAAGACCTAATCTCTTGTCATTGTTTTAGTAATCACAGGCATTAGCCTGCCTTTTATACTAAGAACACCATGTACAAGGAATAATATCTTTCTCCATGAATTATATGTTAAAAGAAAAAAAATAACAATCACTGCATTAAAATTTACAAACTAAATACCAATAATATGCATAATTGACCTTTAGAGTTAACTTTTTCACCCAAAGGCAAGAAGTAAAGGTTGTGGGAACTAATACTGGAGTTGTGAGGTTTGAAAAAGGAACAGATTTTGCTATGATTAAAATGGTCTGTGTTTGAGTTCATCTATCCTTTGACTATTTCATTCTATGAGTACATATTAAGCTAGTAAGCAATATTTTTAAAAACTGTATGGGGGTTTAAACTTAGGTCTTTGCACAAAGAAACATAGGTCCCATGGTTTTTCTTATCTGCAATAACAAGTATATGTCTAAGACAAGCAGAAGAGGTCAAAAGCTATGTACATATGACTATGTATGCTGATGCTAAGTGAAATGAACTTCAAGACTCCAAGATAGAGACACAAGAGAGTTTACCTTTCTTGTTGTTCTTTTTAATATACTTATAATGTACTATGTAATTTTTGTTTGTTTCTTTGTATGTTCTTCCCCCATGGTGTAACCCCTGTTGCCACTGTATTTGATTCCGGTGTCCTGCATCTTGTATATACATTTTTCTAATTTGGGGAGGGGAAGGGAAATAACAAAATGCTGAAATAAGGATACAGGATGACCCATTGTAATAATGAGATGTACAAGACACTATGTTGAAAACGAACTTTACAACTTGGGGGGGGGGGAGTTGGGGAGGTGGGGAGGAAAGGGATGGTAGAGGGAAAACAAAGGAGGAGATAACAATGCTCCATAGGAAATGTACTCAATACCTTACTCATGTAACTGTAACCCCTTTGTACAGTATTTCTACAATAAAAAACATTAAAAAGAAGCCTTGGAGGTTCCCTTGTAGTTAGATTTCGGGAGGAGACAGTACACAAACTAGTTGCCTTTGACAATAGCTTCATTTCCCTTTTCAAACCTTTATGAAATGTTTATTTCAACATATACCACTTTATTTGCAAAAGGATTTAAGAAGGCCAAAGATTCAGATTTGTGTCTAATATCTCTTTAGAATACAAAATTAGAAGTATGTAGTATATAAGTAGCCTGCTTTTATATATTTGAATGCTATTATTGTCCATCTTAAATACCTTGATGTAAGTCATCGTTAGAGTATTTTACTATTTTAACTTCAGGTTTTAAAAAACATATGTAGCTTTCTTACCTTAATAGACTAATGACTAAATTTCTTTTTTAAAAACCCACAGGAACAAAGTGAAACACATCCCATGATTTTCCATGACTCAAGACATATACAAGCATTACTTTTGAGAAGAAATAGATTTTCTTCCCATTTTAAGGAAAGAGAACATTTTTACCAATACAGAAGAACAAATTTTGTTTTAGAAAGAAATTGTGCCATCCTAAAGTCTTTAATCAGAGAGCCATCTGTTCCTGTCTGCAAACCCCAAGGTTCGTTGTCCACAGCAGAGAAAGGAGCTATAAAAGCTATAGCTACTGAAATGATCCACAGAGCTGTGCATGATAAACCAAAGATGCAAATTAGTAGTCAGGCTACTACTATAAAACCTTGGAGTAAATTTCACAATTTATCACAGACCTTTTCCAACCTAACAAAGAAATTTGTGGGTTACTTTGATAAGACAATTATTCATGAAGGGAGTGCTGGAAGTGGAAAAGTAGAAGAAATAGCTTCCACAATGAGACCAATAAGCTCACCCAAAATCTATACCTCATCCATCAAATGTTACCCAAAGCATGTGAAAAATGTACTTGCAGTACATCGAATAGATAATCTAAGTCCTCTGGATGACTTGTTAACATCATCAAGGAAAATTTAAGTGGCTCACAAATACCACTTACACAGTAATATCTGGGCAATAAGATCTCAGCAAGTAAGCAAGCACAAGCCAAGTGCCAAGATCACTAAAGAAATCTCTACCCAAATAGCATGGTATATGAAACATAGAAATTGAGATAAAGATCAATCATGTGCTAAAATTAAGAGATAATTATGAAGAGGAACTTGTTCATCTCCTACTATCTCTGTTAGACTACCCAGTCATCATTAGTACTATAAGAAAGTTCTACTCATTACCAAAAATGGTATAAATTGATTGGACATTTGCTGTTGGAACCTAAATAACATGGATAATATTATTTTACAGCTGAACAGAAATAAAGCAAATGTACTATTAATTTAATGAATATTGAGTTAATTGATGTATCATTATTTTTGAGAATCATGGCGAAAGTACATGAAAATGTATGTGATTAAAAGGGCCTTGTAAAATCTTGAGTCACTTTTTTTATCTGAGATGTTGAAACTTCAGTACTGTCTTGCCTTTTCCAAGTATGACTTGAACTTTTTCTCAGTTGTTAAATAACTTAATAGAAACTTTAATAAGCGAAATCATTTTGAGGGCCTAGGTCTGGTTATGCACACCTGTAATTCTACTAATTTAGGAAGTAGAGATCAGGAGAATATCAGTTCAAAACCAGCTCCTGAAAAAAGCTAGTGGGACTCTATCTCAACAAACAAGCTAGGGGCCTTGTACCCAATCCATCTACCTGTACCATGTACCTGGGATTATAGACATAAAAAAGGAATAGGTGTATGGTGTATGTGGTAGAGTACCTACCTATCAGGTGTGAGGCTCTGAGTTCAAACTCTAATAATGAAGTAGTAAATAATTTTAGTAGTATTATAAAATATTGAACAGTTTATAATATGCTGTTATATTACAATTTCACTGTTTCTTACTAACTTCTCATTAACTCAAACAGTTTAAAAGCTAAATGCATCTTCTAAACAAGGTACCTTTCAAAGGTTCCCTTGTAGTTGGATTTCAGGAAGAGACGGGGTTTATCAATGTTCTTCAATAAAGCCTAGTTATTAACAGCTTGCCTACATTGGATTCTGGGGTAATTTTCTTTGCTGTACTCAAAACACATCTGATATCTCAAAAGGCAGTGAGAAAATAAATTCACAGGTATATCTAAACTTGTGCTTTATGAAAAAGCAGTATTTCTATAGTTGCCATAATTTTAGGAGAAAAGTAAGCAAGCAAAGAATTTTTTACTCCTGATGTTTAGTTCTTTTTTTTTTTAGTTTTAATTTTATTTTATTTGTGAACATACTGTACAGAGGGGTTACAATTACATGGGCAAGCTAATGCATACATTTCTTACCAAGCATTGCAGCCTCCTCCTTTGTTTACCCTTCACCTCCCTTCCCAGCCTCCCCCCTCCCCGCCCCCCCCCCCCCCCCCCCCCCAATATCCTGATGTTTAGTTCTTGAGGAAAAGCAGGTAGGTTGAGAAGCCTTTAGAGGCATTAGAAGTCTTTCCCAACTTCCAAGAATGAGGTCAGGTGGCTCAGGTTTGGAGGAGGCAGGAAGAAACACTTATTTTTCCTTTCTTCTGGTTCCTAGCTGTATAGGTGGAAAAGCTGCAACAGCTCAGCTATGAGTCATTAAGAAAACAACTAACAGTCCCTTTTCAGCCAATCACCAGCAGCCAGGCCACCCCGCCATACCTATACTAGGCAAATCTCACCACACCATTCCCCAGTAAGTCAGATGCCTTGTGCTGTAGCTAATCAGGCGATTTATCTGCCTCACTTCCACATTCTGCTTATGAAAAAGCTCACTGCTCCTACTATTTCCCTTTTGTTGTTTTCTAGCTATTATCTTGAGAATTTTTCCTCAAACTTTCACTGTAAAGCATTAGAGATCTAACAAGAGTCTTTGTTAGATCAGAAGAGAAAATAGACTCCCTGACACTCAGCATAAGAATAGTAAGTGTGGGCCTTAGAACAGGGCAAATGGAACTTAGACAAATAATGTATGATATCTAAATCTCAGTTCATTGTATCTTCACCTCAAGATGGAAGCAACAGTACCTCATTATAGTATGATTTCCTAGGATTAAACAATGCCTAGTTTTTTGTTTTTTTTTGGTTTTTTGGTTTTTGTGTTTGTTTTTGGCAGTCATGGGAACTCTGAGCCTGGGCGCTGTTCCTCAGCTCTTCAGCTCAAGGATAGTGTTCTACCGCTTAAGCCACAGTGCCACTTCCAGTTTTCTAAGTGGTTTTTTGGAGATAAGAGTCTCAAGGACTTTCCTGCCCAGGCTAGCTTTGAACAGCACTCCTCAGATTTCAGCCTCCTGTGTAGCGAGGATTACAGGCGTGAGCCACTGAAGCTGGGAAATACCTATTATTTTGAGCATTGTAACTTCAATAAAGATTCCCTATCTGCAGCCAACAGTTCTTTAAGGTGGCGTTTTTCTCTTTCTTTTGCCATTCCAGTCCTGGGGCTGGAACTGAGGGCCCAGGTGCTGTCTCTGAGCTTTTGTGCTCAAGGCTTAGCACTCTACCACTTGAGACTCGGTTCCACTTCCATCTTTTGGGTGGTTAATTGGAAATAAGAGTCTCATGGATTTCCCTGCCTGGGGTGGCTTCAAGCTGCGATCCTCAAATCTCAGCCTCTTGAGTAGGATTACAGGCATGAGCCACCTGTGGCCTAGCTCAAGGCTGTTCTTAATATAACTTTCTTGAAAGAGGTCTTCAATAACTGATCTCTCCAATTTTATCCAAATGAAATGTTAAGCTTAACTATTCAAACTTTAGCCTATAAAAGGCCAACAAAGTAAAGTCTTTATTTTTGGCCTTTTTTTTTTTTCTGTTGCTTTATCTGTCCTTTTGAAGGCACTTCAACTTGGCTGATGGTTCTCCATTAAAGCAATGGCAGAGCTGAGAGAAGAGCTGAGAAGGTAGCAATTTGAACCCAACACCTTCTCTACTCATAGCTCTAATCGTTTCCTAAACAACCAGTTGCTGGGGTCATCAAGAAATGGGGCTAAGGTAGGGATTTGATTTCAATTCTGTGGCTGAGGATTGAGCATGGTCATGAAGACCAGTCTGCATCACAAGCAATGATGTACTATGCCCATGGATGTAATCCCCGTGTAGCAACCTCCCAGAGCACAGAACCATCTGCTGAATAGTTTGAGAAGTCTATTGGAAAATACTCAGAACAAACTGTCAGAATAAACCTAGCTTTTACTAAACCCACCCGAGCTATTGGACCCAATAGCAAAACCCAACCAAGTTAGATTTCTATGATGAGGGCATCTAACTCTTAGTCAACCCATTAATTAATGAAAAGTAAGATGTCAAAACTAGTTTGAAGAAGCATTTGAAGACAGACAGACAGTCAAGGCAGCCCAAAGAATGCTCCAATGAATACACTAATAAATACCATCTTAGCTAATACTCTGTAGAATAAAAAATAAAGGAGGGTTGGTAATATAGCTCAGTGAAAGAGCATTTGCCTGGCAACTGCAAGGCCCTGAGTGTGGTCCTCAGCTCTGCAAAAGAAAGGAAGGAAGAAAGGAAAGAAGAAAGAAACTTTAAGGTTGTATTCTCTACTGGAGGGAAATCACCATATGTGTACAGAAGTTTTCCTGCACATTGGTAAGGTTTTCTAAAAGTTAAATTCTTCTAAACAGCCAAAGCTTCACCTCTCCATAGACTTAATCTACAAGGCATGTACCTGACAATTCCCGTCACTCCAAATGGCAGGGCATGCAGTAATCATCTTTCTTATTTGAAAGTGCAGATAAACTGTGACACGTTTCCACCTGGAAGCCATTCAGAAAATACCAGAGACAGCTCATTTGTCTATAAGAGTTTGGTGCCCAGAGTTGGATTATAAGTGTGGTATGAGACAAAGGGTATTTTATTTCAGTACTCAAAGGGAAAATTAAAACCAATTATTATTAAAGCTGAGGGGATCATATTAACAGTAAATCCTATTTGCTGCCTATTTTACTCTAAAGAAAACTTTAATTATATCGGTATAGCAGTAGCAGTGACATAAGAAAGGGACTGGTCAGTTTGCAGTAGTAGATCCTAAGGTGGCATTTCATTTGTCAACATACATTTAAAAAGACAAATAGTTCATTTGATCCAAATAATACACTTTTGGGTAAACATTAAGTTTAGAATCAGTATATGGGCTATCCATTTCAGTTATGCATTACACATTAGTGACTAGTTGATTTATTCATGCCAGAGAAGGTAGTTCTATTCTATTCTTTTTTTTTTTAACCCTTGCATCTTTACTATTTTTCTCTTTTCTTTCCCCATCGTGCTAAGGGCTCAGACGTAAGTAGGACCTTGAAATTTTTCTAGAGTCGTCTGAGACTGTTCTGTGATGACAGAAAGGCTCTGTATTTGTGCTGTCCACAAGTGACTATTAAACACCTAAAATGTTTCCATGGTAGGGTTCTTGAGCTCAGCCCTATGGATAATTACATGTTATTGATGACATTGTAAGGAAAATACAGCTATCAAGCTGAGGAGGTCATCTGATTAACTTCAATTCAAGGCAGAGGGTACAGAAAGTAGAAAGGCTGTAAAGTGCCATATGCTATGTGCCTGAAGTAGTCTAGGACCAGTAGGTAGGTCACCATGACTATTGTCTAGTGAGGAAGACTAGAATGGGATAGAGGGGGAGACTGCACAGGTAACAAGAGACCAAATCATATAAAACCCTATAGATGTGCATGATAGCGCACACCTATAATTCCAGCACTGGAAAAGAAGATCATGAATTTGGGGTCTCCCTGAGTTATATGGCAAGACTCTGCCTTAAAAAATTAATTGGCTAATTAAGATTAAGCCTTGAAGGCTCTGCATTTTGTCTGGCATAAAATGAGAAGTGTCTAAATGGTTTCAGGAGTGACAGATGACTTATTTTTAAAAATAATAACTCATTTTTAAAAATAAGCATACTTTGTGTGCTATGTGGAGAAGAATTGATGGAGACAAATGAACTGGAGAATTGAAGATAGAAGCAAAATATTGCAAAGATAATTTCAATATTTCAGCGAGAAAAGTCTTAAACTACTGTGCCCATAGAAGAAGTAATAAATATGGGAATGAGATTATCTTTTAAAGGAAGAATTGATATGGTTTGCTCAAAGGTAGATGTGATCTGTGAAGAAGAAAAGTAAAAGGTTTTTGGAATAAGTAAATAGGATAGAGTTTTTATCAACTGGGTTGGGAAAGACAGTTTTGGAAAATCTTTCTCAGGTTTATAGTGAGTAGGCAGAGGAAAGACAGAGTTTTTCAAAATCTTCATGCACCATTGAACCTTTCAAAGTACAGAATCTATATTGTGTGCTCTCAGCACATTCCAGTGGCAACCATCTAAAATAAAAGCCTGTGAGTGTTGGCCTAAATATGAGCACTGGAGAAAAGACAACAGCCAGAGGCTAGTAAAAGAATATCTCAGTAAGTCAATTAACTCGGGTGCCTCCTAAAGAGCTTGTAGAGTTAGGGAAGAGCTCACTGATGATTATCTATCTTACATGAGAGTTGAGGAATTGGCCAAAGGTAGGAGATGAAGACCATAAAAATGAGAGAGTAATATACACATAAAGTGGATCTCTGATTGGTGCAGAGATCTATAAGTGAGAGAATGTGTTTGAGGAACTGACAAATGGGAAGTATGAGTGCATAGGGGAAAGCCAAAGTAAGGGTCTGTGAAACAAAGCAGGAAGAATTTATAACTAGATCTGCAGTTTTACAAAATCACTGTGGCTGAGGGAACAGTGAGGTAGCCTGAAGACTAGCTATGATATTGTAGGGTCTTAGATCAGGAGATGGAAATGGCATTGGGTTTTGACTTGGGGTCTTACATAGGATAGTGAGGAGAGAGGCCATGAAAATGACCGCCGAGATACACTGGGTCACATCTGAGCCTACAGAGACAGCCAAAGGGTGCTCTCTTCGTAAGTCTGCACCTCACACCTATGGCGATCCTTCTCTGAACTCAGAGGTTCTACTGCCAGATGAGCAGCTGCCCTCCTTTCTTTCCTTCCTCTCTCCCTCCCTTCCTCTCCTCATTCTTTTCCTTTTATCTTTCTTTGTGGTACTCAGATTTGAACTCAGGAACTTTAAATTTGCTAGGTAAGCACTCTATACTATTTGAGCCATATCCCAGCCCTTTTAAACTTAGCAGTTCTTTTTTATTTTTATTTTTTTACTTATTTTATTATGAAAATACCGTACAGAGTGGTTACAATTACGTGGGCAAGGTAATGAGTACATTTCTTATCAAGCATTGTTGCCTCCTCCTTTGTTTCCCCTTCCCATCCCTTCCCATCTCCTCCTCTCCCCCCTCAACAACTTCTTTTGAAAGCTGTTTCTTATTGGTTAGAATGAACATCTTGTGGATTCTTGTAGCCTTGCTTTATTTATTCCCGAAATAATTCAGAATATTTTTTTCCTACTTGTCTTTTCTTTAAGCTCTATTTTTCTAAATGTTTTGCTATCAGTTTTCTTCTTTTTAAATCCTCCCCTCCCTGAAAGACTTAATCATTAAACACAAACAACTCTAAAGCCTACACTTGAATGTAGAACTCTAAAAGGCATGCACATTAACCAATCAGAAGGAAAGTCCAACCTTTCAGAGTAGAAATTCACAGGAAATAAAGTTAGACTATTGAATACTAGTAAGTAGTCTTGTCTGTAAAACAGACATTTTCTTGAACTATATAGCCTTACAATCCAATTTGTCTCTAAGACAAATTTCCAGTTACATGGTATTGTGTTAAAAAAATTCCAAGGCCTGTTTAATGTAAAAATCTACAAATTTATGAGTAATTGGCCAATGTTGATTAGGCTTGACTCACACTTTTTATCATATAAGTAGTTTACTGGTCAGTCATGTGGTGTCTGTCTGGTCTAGGATGGCCTCTCTAGCTTAATTTATTTCTCATAGACCTAGCAGTTCTTGAGCTAGGGTGTTATTAAATTTTTTCTTGCCCCCTCTGGTCTTAAAGCATGACCTTACTATTTGTATCTCCCAAGTAGCTGGGTTTACAGGCATGTGCTACCATTTCTAGCCCAAAGATATTTCAGTAGTAATTCTACAGCAAGCTGTAAAATATTTACTAACTCATAAAGATGACTTTTCCAAATAGATCAGATTTATACCTTAATGAAAGCATTTAACGTAGTCTTTGCAATCTTGTATAGCTTTTTAGGTATAGCTTTTTTTGAGGTGGTTTTACAAATTAATGCATACACTTTCTTATATAGATTTCTATGATTAATATTAATAATAGGCCTGGTACTTAAGTCTATCAACAATTACTGAGCACTCTAAGTACCTATAATATGGGAAGGAGACAAAACATCAAATCTTCATAGGGCCAAGTAATCCTTTTTTTTTCCCTCCTGTGATCCTAAATGCAAATACTTGACTCCATTAGACTTCGTGGCATTTTATTGGAGACCCAAAGCAACCCAATCATTGCCAATGTTGAGAAAAATCCAACGTTTTTGGCCTGTGGTGCTTCTTAACAAATATTTGTTAATAGATAATGTTATCGTGCTGAGAAAAACTACAGTGGTTGCCTGGATTCACACTCTTGGGAGATTTATTTTCATTGTTTATAATTGCAATTGATTTATTATGCAAATTTGTATGTGGCATACATATCTCCACAGGGTAGAATTTAAATTAGTAGCTCATTTCTTAATTTTTTTTCCCTCATTGTTGCCATCTGGTTGTGTAAAACAGTTTCATTTTCATGCAGTGTTGATGGGACTATAACATTTAAACAACTGCTTTGGAAGATCAAGCTGTTGATTCTATTAATTAAAAAGATGCAGTCTCTGATTAATTTTATATTGTTTCTAGAAAAGTCTACCCACATAAAGTTGGTGAGACAAGGATGGTTTATAAACTGAAAAACGGGTGGTAGCCTAAATATCCTTAGGAATGGTTACATATTATGCATCCAAAGATAGAATTAGTCTGCAGTTTTAAAGAGAATAAGGTGAGTGTATAGGTTACTTTAGAAAGACTTTCAAGGAATAATAACAGGAAACAGAAAGGTTGAACAATAATGACTATGATCATTGTTACAGCCAACAGTGGGTATTGTATATATGTTTATCTGAATTAGGGTAGGGAAGGGAAACAAAGTGGTGAAACAAAGGACAAAGGAGGAACCAATGCAAGTTATACTCACAAGACAATATGTTGGAAATGATCTGTATAACTTGAGGGGGGACTGCTGGGGGGGGGAAGGGAAAGTGGAGAAAAATGAGGGAGGGGGTAACAAGTTCAACAAGAAATGTACTCACTATCTTACTTATGTAACTGTAACCTCTCTGTATATCACTTTGAAAATAAAATTAAAAAAAAGAATTTACCACTTATTGAATCATTTTATTGTTGCCAAACTTTATGAGGTGGGTATTATTGCTGTAGATATATTCCTATTATATATACATAAATTTATATATTATATAACATACATGTAATAATAAATGACATAATACCTCTTATAGCTAATATTATAGATTACAAATAATATTATGTTATAGGTATTACATATATTAGATATTATATATTACATATATATGTATTACAAAATATAACATGTATAATAACTAACATGTAATGTTTTATATATTACAGGTATATATTATGTAATATGTAATATATTTACATATGTTAATATGTAATTGTTTTATATATTACAGGCATATATTATATATTATATATTATATAATATAAAACAAGCTCTGTGCTAGCTTTACATCATACAGATGGAGAGATCCAGCTTCAGAGAGGTCATCTAATTGTCTCAAGAGTATAGAGCTAGCAAGGGAAGATATTTCAAGAAACCCAAGAATTAAAACTCAACACCTGGCACTAGTTTGCCAATTCCCTAAACAGTTTGATAGTCTTGCTACTTTTCTGTATATGCCAACATTATTATTTTTTGCCCAACATTATTATTATTCGCTGAGAAAGGATTGTTTTCGGAGACCAGAAAGTATGACCAGCCTGAGCACTGCAGAATGAGTATTTGTTGAGTGTGGATTGTTGAGGCACACCGTGAGTCCACTGAGCATTCAGAACGAGTCTAAACGCACTTTCTCATCCTTCCTTCCTCAGAGGGAGAGGCAGGATCTGCACCCTGGTGGAGGCAGTTATCTGGGGCAGAAGGCCTCCAGTTCCCAGGCAGGGCTCCCCGACCCTAGGTGAGCGCCCCCAGAGGAGACCAGACACACACGCTTGCGCATGCGCGGCGCGGCCGCGTCTCCCGGCCTCCGCCGGGGCGCTCCAGTGTCCCCCAGTTTGGTCTCTCGGCTTCTCCTCCAGCACCCCGGCCCGCCGTTCCCATCCCCACCCCGCAATCCTCCTCCCCCGCCCCTTTTCCAGATCTTCCCTAACCCCTGCCGAGGCCAACTTGGGGCGGCTCCTCCCCAGTGAACCCCGCGTTGCACAATGCGGGAGCAAAGTCCCCGAGGGTGTGAACCCCGAAGTTCCTGCCCCTGGGCGGGGACGGGCAGCGGCCTTGCGGGGAGCCGAGGGCGCGATCGCAGCCGGAGAAGCCGCAAGTGCCCGCGCCGCCCGCTCGCCGCGCTCAGCCCGCGGTCCCCACGCCGCCCCCCGCCCCCCGCGCCCGGGCCCGCGCCGCCGCCGCCGCCGCCGCCGCCATGGCGGAAGTCCACAGACGTCAGCAGGCCCGGGTGAAAGGAGAAGCCCCCGCCGAGTCCTCCGCACACCGCGATGCGGAGCCGCTGGGGATGGCGCCGGCCGAAACGCTGACGCTCTTCCTGAAGCTGCTGGCCGCCGGCTTCTACGGCGTGAGCTCCTTCCTCATCGTGGTGGTGAACAAGAGCGTGCTCACCAACTACAGGTGCTGGCGGCGGGAGGCCGCGGGCGGGGACGCGGGCGGCGGGGCGGCGCCGCTCCGCGGACTTCGGCCGCCCGAGTTGTTGGCGGAGCCGAGTGGGGCGGTGCGGGCGGCGGGGCTCCGGGCGCGGGGCGCGGGGCGCGGGCCGCGGGCCGCGGCCGGGGTCGGGGTCCCCGCGCGCCGTGCCGTGCGGGCGGAGCCGGTCTGGGCGCGCAGCGAAGTTGCTCCGGGACTTGGTGTCCCCCGGCGCATCCCTGCACCGGGGAGGAGAGAGCGGGGTGCTGCGTGCGGAGCTTCGGGGACCCCCGAGCTGCTGACAGCCTCCGGGGACCCCCGTTACCACTGTGGCTGTCACCGGGACTCGGGGCACGTGTGTGTGTGTGTGTGTGTGTGTGTGTGAGAGAGAGAGAGAGAGAGAGAGAGAGAGAGAGAGAGAGACTTTTCCTTTTTTCCTTTTTGTAGATTAAAGGTGTGAACTCGTTGGAAGAGATGTAGAAATCTGTCTTACCTTCCGTTTCTGGAAGCTGAGTGAAATTGTACTTAGCAGACAAGACGAGGCAAGTGGCCAGCCCCCCAGGCTACAGAAACCGGCGGGGCTGGCTGACTTTAGAAACGCTGGTTTAAAAAAAAAAAAAATACACGGCTTTTATTTAAATAAAAGAAGGGCATTGTTGGGGAACCAAAATGTGTTTTTAAGTTGAATTCACTGTGTCATGTGGCATTTCCTGACCTTGTTTTTTTTCTTTTTACCCTCCCTCCTTCCCCTCTTTACCCCTTTTGTAGATTTCCCTCCTCGCTCTGTGTTGGACTTGGCCAGGTTAGTTGGAATCCTTGGCATTCCTTGGTTGGTGTAGTCAGAACCTCTGTGTGTGTCTTTCGGTGTGGAACAGTGCATCTGTGTGTGTTCTCTGTTTACAGATGGTGGCCACAGTAGCGGTTCTCTGGGTGGGAAAGGCACTCAGAATAGTCAAGTTTCCTGACTTTGACAGAAATGTACCTCGAAAGGTAAAAAAAAAAAAAAAGAATAAAAGTCACATTTTATTTTATGAAAAAGTCATTCTGTATTTGTATCAGTGTCTTGCATACTTAAAAATTGCAGCTTTGACATCCCCTCCCAGTCTAGAGTACATGCAGTGAAACTAAAGAATAAATGCAGTAATATATGTTAGCGGTCCCACCTCTCTTTAAAATTAAGAAAGAAATAGATTGGGGGCATGGCTTCAGTGGTACAGCACTTGCTTAGCAAATGACCCATGTCCAAAGGGTTCAAATCCCAAAGCTGCTAGGACCCTCTCCCCCCACAACAGTACCTAAAAACCACATCACACCAAACCACACTAAAACAGAGGGTAAGAAGGAATGAAAGAAGAAGAAAAAAAGTAGGAATCTCCCATCTGTTTGTGTTTGTGTGTGTGTTTTCTTTTTTTTTTTGGTGCAGTTCCTGGGGTTTGAACTTAGAGTCTGGGGACTGTCTCTGAGCTTTCATGGTCAAGGCAAGTGCTCTATCACTTGAGCCACAGCTCCACTTCTGGCTTTTTGGTAGTTTATTGGAGATTTATGGACTTTCCTTCCCAGGCTGGCTTCAGACCATGAAGAGCTTCGATCTTAGCCTCCATGTTCAGATCTCAGTCTCCTGATTTGCTAGGATTACAGGTGTGAGCCACCAGTGCCCGCCTATCCCCATTTAAGTTAATTCTCATTTGTTGGGCTTACAGCAGTTTTGCAGTTTCTGTGATTCATATACTCTAGCTAGTGTATCCTGCATTCATTATTGCTTGGGTTTATTTCTTTTCATATTCTTCTGTCTGTCTCTTCTTGACTCCACATATAGATGAAATTCTTTTCCTTTTTCTGCTGACTTGAGAGCCAAAGACCTATGCATTATATTTTAAAGCAAATAATATTTCTGCCCCCACATCAGTCGATCATATTCATATTCCTGTTTCGTTTCTTTCCTGTCTTTCTCCCAATTTCTGCTAGTTGTGCTGTGTATCATAGAATAGTTACGTTGGGGTGTTTCATGGGCATCAGAATTGTTTATGAGAGAAGAAAAAGTAATCTTACATTTCAAGTGGAAAGAATTTGGTCATATAAACAAAACTGTTTCTGTTTGAAAGGACTTTGTTTTAGCTGTCTTTATTATTGAGTTGTGTTATCCCTTTTTAAATTTTCTAGACGTTTCCACTACCTCTACTATATTTTGGGAACCAAATCACGGGACTGTTCAGCACAAAGAAACTGAAGTATGGATAACTTTATTTTACTAGTGAGGTTAATATAATGTATTCTGAAAGTTGTACATGAATGTTAAAAATTTCATTTATTACTAATACTGAAAAAACAAAAAAGGACCATAAAGCTTCTATTACTAAAGAATGAAGGTTGCACCAAGGTTTTAGTTTCAGCCTTTTCATTTGAAGAGAAAGAGTACCTTTTTTTTGTTTTGTTTTTGTTTTGTTATCTCCGCTTGTTTTGATATTGTAAGTGTTAAAATGTAGAATGCTGTAAGAGATTTTTCTTTATTTTCTAGACCGTTAGTAATGAAACATTTCAGGTTTGGAATTTCAGCTCACATATGGTTTATAAATACTGTATTGCAGGCAAATCCCACACGCCATAATCAGTGGATGGACATAGGACTTTCACAGTTTCTCATAGCATGAAGTGATTAGAATCAGATTGGGATGCTGGTCTATGTAGGATGACTGTGTTATCCGTGAGTGTATTACTGCAGGCCGCACATTCACTTCTGCCAAGTGGCAGCTCTGTTACTTACCCTCCAGTCACCTGGCTTCTTGTGATGGAGTGTGTGACATGAAATAAAACCACACCAAGAGGAAGACAGTTCAAAAGAAATCCAAGCTTCATGCTTCCACATGAGCTGAACAAAACCCTAGAATATTGGTAGATTATAAATAGTAAGGAGATCTCTGAGTATCAGAGGCAAAGCATTTGTTGTTTTCTCCATTGAAAGAAAACAAAACAAAACATAAAAACCAAACAAACAAAGTGACCAGTGCTGTCTGTGGGAAGAGTTAGAAGGAATGGAGCTCATCATGGGTAGGGCATCCTTTTCTGTTCTCATTACCTACTTGGAAAGAAATGCAGGCCTTCTACAGAGTGCTGCTTATATTCTGTGTGCTTTTTTCATCCGTTATCACCCATCCATTCATTCACACCGGCTTTTGATTGAGTTGAGGATAAAGTACTTTGGAGTAAGATAAGATATAGTCAGAAATAGAAAGACTACAAAAGATTATAAGTTTATCACAAGCAGAATGCCCTAGGAATTTAGAAGACTTTACAAAAGGATCATAAAGGAATGTTTCATGTGGTAATATTTTCATAGATGTGTTTTTGGGTGAGTTAGGAGTGGAAAGGAAAAGTCAGTCCACCAAGTGAAGAAACAAATACGCTTAAAAAATGTAAAGACTAACAGAGTATTTGTGTAAGTAATAGATAAAATTTTAAAGCATGTCATTCTGTGAAAATAGATGCATTATCTGTACCGTTTAAGTTAACAATATCTCACTTTTTGTAGGTGTTTTTTAAAAAGCAACTTTTTTAGACTTTCAACTTGATTTATTTTTAGAGAGAAGTAAGAGTTTAACTTAATCAGGAGGTTAATCGGCATAGAATTTCTATAATGGAAGGAAGAGATTAGCATTGTCTTAAAGTACCAACTTGGAGAATCTTGTTTTCAAATTGAAAAAGATAAAATTTATTTTAACTAATTATCCTTGTTTTTGCAGCTTGCCCATGTTTACAGTTCTGAGAAGGTTCTCCATCCTGTTTACAATGTTTGCTGAAGGAGTTTTACTCAAGTAAGCTAAATTTCTGATACACACACAACAACAACAACAACAACAACTTTACAAACTGGAAAGATACCCAGGATATGCTGAATATTAATATATGGCTTTCTTTGACTTAAGCTTTTGGGACGTTTAAGCAACCTTTTGTTCTTGCTGTAGGAATCGATAGTTTATGGTAGCAGCAGCTGGAAAGATTGTGAGCTGGAGTTATAAACCTATGTGAATGTGGGGTTTACTTTCTAGAGCTTCTATATTTGTTGCTGCCATTAGGTGAAGCTGGGTCACATAAGTAGAGATTTTAACTGTGTCCTTGTCTTGGCTACTTTTACTCCTATGTGCAATGTATTTCTCCTTGAAGATACTTAGACATAAAAAAATTTCAAACTCACTAGTAGTAACAAATGGTAATATTCTTACCATTCAACATAATTTTTTTTTTTTTTTGCCGGTCCTGTGTCTTGAACTCAGGGCCTGGGCACTGTCCTTGAACCTCTCTGTGCTCAAGGCAACAAGTACTCTGCCACTTGAGCCACAGCTCTACTACAGCTGTTTTTGTTTATGTAATATTGAGGAATCGAACCCAAGGCTTCATGCATGCTAGGCAAGCATTCTACCACTAAGCCACATTCCCAGCCTCCATTCCAAATAATTTTTTTATATAACAACAATTTTTTGTATAGCAACGTGAGTTTTGCTTCACTAGAGGGTTCTTTAAAAATGTCTTGTTTCTTAGAAATATTTAAAATACGATTGTTCATGTATTTTTAAAAATGTATTTTATGTCTGTTATAAAATGAGTTTGTATACATAAAGTCGCAATACATACTTTTTTCATTATTTTGTAGGAAGACTTTTTCTTGGGGTATTAAAATGACTGTATTTGCAATGATTATTGGAGCCTTTGTAGCTGCCAGGTAAGATATGGCACTGTGGATATTACATTAGAAATTATCAGTTATCAGTTATCAAAAGGAATAATTATTTATAACTCAAATAGTATGTCTTTGAAAAATATTGAAAAGACTTAAAAAAGTTAAAACTTTTTGGTTGTGTCAAGTGTAGCAAAGTTGTAATTTTTAGAGATGTTTACTTCAATTCAGATAATTTAGGGTTTGTTTCTGTCTTCTTGCCAAGCATATCTTGTCTGCATCACAGTCTATTTGGCCTTGAATACTTATTATTTATGTATTCTTCACAGCTGGGAGGCAGTGGTTTAAAATTTCCTATTTTATAGTTGAAACTGAAGCTTAAGTTCTGTAACTTGTTCAGGGTCACATACCTGGTAAGGACAGAGCTGGAAATGAAATCTGTGCCCAACTTCAAAGCCTGTGTGATTTTATAAAGTAAAGGCATGCATGTTTTTACGTTCTAATCGCCTAAAGAAAATAGTGTCTGTCATTCCAGGAGGGGAAGCCAGAACAATGGATTTTTTTGCCTTGTAGAATAAAATCACAAATGTAACTTAGATATTTCTATCCATTATAATGTTCCCCATTTTTTTAAAGTTCTAGTTTTGAATCGCATACAGAAAGCTGTGAGAAAGGTTTAAAGAGAAAAGTACTGATTACCTTGATTTGATGATTACACATTATATACATGTATAGAAATAGAATGATTGCCATTTCAGATGCTGTGTGACAATTTAGAAAGAAAAGGAGAGAGGAAAGGAAGGGAAGAATTAAGAAATAGACAGGAAAAGTGTATACCCAAAGACTCAGGAAGTTACAATGATTTCTAGAAGCTTTGTAGAACATTTTCCTCCACCTGAGCCTGCAGAGCTAGGTTTGCTAATGCCACGAATTCAGCCTGATATACATTTTCCATCTGTGGGTTGTAGTGTTCTTCTTGGACTGGAGCCTTAACTTTCATCACATGTTCCTGTGGAAAAAGTGGGAGGAATACAAGGAAAATTCTATTTTGCTCTAAATCTCCAAGTGAAATTTTGTCACTCCCCCTCCTTGTACAAAAGGCATAATCAGTTACTAGAACTTGATTGTATCACACACTTTCCCCTCTTTTCTTCCCTTGAAGAAAATTCTGTACTTGTCAACTGCCTTGTACTCTAAATATTTAGAAACATTTCCTTTAAGCCAATGGGATCTTAACTGAACTAACCAACAGGGTTTCCTCAGGTCTTACTTTGACCTCCAAAAAGCTTTTAAAGACCAAGCTGGTCTAATTAGAACCTTTTAATGTGTAAAAAAGATGGAGAGAAAGAGAATCTGAAGGGAATATAAGCTTAAGCCTTGTTTCCCTTTAATAATTTAGCCAAATTTAAAAAAAATAACAACTTTGTGAAGTTATAGAATGTAAAGTCACAATTTGACTAGGATGCTCAAGGATGTGGAAGGCATAACTTCTGTCAGATTTTCATTCATAATTTACTGGTTCTAATCTTGTGTCCAGTACTTTACTAAACAGTAGACATGTTCAGTTTGCCTGATCTCAAAAGGTTTATGGAAAAACGTCTAGAGCATTTAAGTTCCCACTGTGTGGTTAGTCACTGTTGTCATTGGATCTCATAAGTAACAGTCAGGTTAGACCTGTATTTTGTTGAAATTTTCATCTTTTTGGTTTCCTTATTTATGAAATTGATGTCTTTGGCTTCTTTCAGAGATGTCTCATAATGGTAAATTTGGTTTTATGTTATCTGACATTGAAATCACAATAGTATACTGTTAGAGGATTGCAGGCTTGAGCCAACATGTCTGGTTCAGTGACTGATAATTTCTAATGATGTGTTTAAACATCAGTGCTTCTCATTTCTAAAGAATCCCTCAGTGTGAGTGTGAAATTGCCATATGTGACCAGGATTAAAGAAATCCTCACCTCTGATAAAATGATTTTTGTTTTTACTTAGATGAGAATATGTTTTTGCACATACTGCACTTGAGACATATTTAAATTTAAATTAATTTTCTTTAAATGTAAATTGTTCTTAAAGTATTGCTTATGTTTTGCAGCTCTGACTTGGCATTTGATCTGGAAGGATATGTTTTTATTCTGATAAATGATGTTCTCACAGCAGCAAATGGTGCATACGTGAAACAAAAATTAGATTCAAAAGTAGGTAGCAGTATTAGATCAACCTGCCTTCCCTCCCTCCCTCCCTCCTCCTCCCCCACTTGTGCTTGCTCCCCCCTCTTTGTGTATGTTCTGGTGCTTGAACTCAGAGCCTTAAAGCTCTTGCTTGTCTTTTTTACTCAAGGCTGCTGTGGGCACATGTCCACTTCAGCTTTTTGCTGGTTAATTGCAGATAAGAGTATCATGGATTTTCTACCCTACCTGGCTTCAAACCTCAGTCCTCAGATCTCAGGCTCCTGAGTAGTTAGGATTACAGGTGTGAGCCACTAGCATCTGGCAATTGTTTATTTGCCTGTTAATCAGGGAAAGTGTGCAGTAAACAAAAGTTCTTATGAGGGATTGGAAACACATAGGCTCTCTAAGGGTAAAATGTCTATACTTTGTTCACATAAGGAAATTAGTTTTATGTTTGAGTTTTTTTTTTTTTTGTCTTTTCTTTTTTTTTTTTTGGTACTAGAGATTGAACCCAGGACCTTGTGCTTGCTAGGCCAGCACTTTGCCATTGAGATACATCCCAGCCCAGGAAGTTAGTTTTAAGTTAGAAATGTAGTATTGTTGGTGGCTTTTTTAGATGAGATGGTTTGAGTATTGATTTAGTGGGTAGGGAAAATAGAGTGTTCACCGAGAAAAGTATCATAAATGTTCTTGGTTGTGTTCTACAGTGCCTTATGGGTGATCTGGGATATGAAGGAGATATTTGGAAGCTTTGAGTTGTGAGAGTAAGTGAGTTTTGGAAGGGGCTGTAGGACAAGGATAGCCTATGTGTACTTTGCCTAAAAATAGTGGGACACTTCAGGGAGCTTTAGGTTCACACTTCCTGGTCAACATTGAGTTTTATGTCCTGGATCTTGTACATGTGAACTTTGTATGCTTGGCATTTTGCTTTCTATTAGTAGCATGTATACAAAGGCTATTCAAGTATTTTTTTGTTTGTTTACTCTATAGTTTGGAAATACACACAATTAAAATTTAATTTTAGGTATAGTCAGACCATCAGAAAGGTGAATATATAGCCTACCTCTTTTGCTGCATTGTAAAATTATATTACTGTAACAAATAGCTGCATGGAACTCAGTTTTATATATCATTGGTTTGTTATTGAAGGAGTTGTCCGTGGTATCATAATTTATCTTAAAAGGCCACCTATATGAGATATTTATCTTAGAGGTCACTCTGAGCAGCTGATCTAGTTTTTAATCTCATAATTGAATCTTGTAACTGACCGTGATTTTATCTTATTTTTTCTACCCATATTATCTTCAGTCAGATGACCTTATCTGTTTACTTTTAGTCTTCTCCATTTATTACATGCATGGCATTTTTGAGATTAACTCAAGCCCTTTTTTGGAACTGAGATGAAAATAAATATAAGTACTCTACTGGATTATAGCATTAGCCCCCATTGCTAGTGTCTAGTCTTGTTACCTTGGCCAGCAGGGCTTTGCCTTTTTTTCCAGGAAAGGAATGTAGATGTGTAGCTGTCTCAGAAGGTTTCCTGGTTTACAATTTTCTTTGACCTGAGGATAGGGTAGATTTGTTTCCAACATGTTTTGTTTAACATTGCCTCTTAAATTTTGTCCTCCACTAAGTCACCTTGGTCTGAATGATGACTATATTTAAATGGAGGCCCCAGTAAACATTGTTTTCTTTATGAATAGAGAATAAGGAACAATTACAGATTTGTTTTACTTTGGTTTTATTCTTTAGCCCAAGTAGCCCAAGTAATAATAGCATATCATTTACATTTACCTAGCAGCTTCAGCTCTCTGAAGTAGTACTATTCCAGCAGAATTTCTGTGATGAAAATCTTTATCTCTGCTGTCCATTACCAGGAGCCACTAGGCATACACAGCTATTCACCACTTGAAAAGTGACTGCTGTAATTGAGAAACCAAATTGGGAGTTTTGTACATTTATAATTAAATCACTCCATGTGACTAGTGACTGCTATTTTGGATAGCACATCCCAATACATCTCCATCAGAGTATTTTACTTCTAGGAGAGAACCCTTTAGTTGCTTACTAAGGAATGACTTAGGACTTATTTGTAGTAGAACAAAGGTAGTTGATCTGCTTTTCCTAGTTCACAGATTACAGACAACAAACTTAGAGGGTGGTTTGTTTAGAGGTAGTATAAAATGGTATTAAAAAGGTCAGCTAATAAAAAGGAGATATGCTGTGAAAGAGAAAAATACTGATAAAAATATTATGCAAGAGCTATTAAGCTTTTTGTCTAGTATTTGGGAGTCAGAGATCAGAAGAATTGCATTTCTGGGCCATCTTAGGCGGGAAAGTCCAGAAGACTCCAGATCAATGGAAAGAAGCTGGCTGTGGTGGCAGATACTTGTTGTCTTAGCAGATGGAAAGCAAAAATAGGGTTGTGGTCCAGACGTGTACCTGGGTAGGAAGTAAGACCCTAGCTAAAAAATAGTCACTGCAAAAAGAGCTGGACATATGGCTCAGTGGTGGAATGCTCATCTAGGAAGCACTAAGGCCCTGAGTTCAAAAACCCTAGCAGCACAAACAAAGCAAAACCAACCAACCAAACCATAAAATAAAGCAATAAAGACAACAATATATGAGAACAAAGTATAGTAATTCAAGTTTATGATAATGTCCTAAGTCAACTTTTAACCAGTGTACTGTGCTTTAGAAATTTAGAAATGCTTTAGAAAAAATGTGTGTCTGATGTGTTAGCTTGTTTGTACATCCTCTACTTCTTGTTAACCATCACTGCATGTCTGGGCACACATTCTCAAAGGTTGTTGGTCCCAATACAGCTTTTTTCTTGGGGCCTTACAAATGAGAGAAACCTTTCCATTTATGCTTGTGATTGATCATAACCAGTTCATCATTTGGTTTATTCTAAAGTCATTATGGCCACACAGAGATCTTTTTTAATAAATTGGAAGTTTCATTACCTATAATTTCAGGACTGCTTATAATCATAGGCCTGTGAGCATGAGTCATATGGCATGAAGACTTAGTGCTGTGTTTTAGACTCAAATATAGTTACTGAAATTAAAACTTGTCCTGTCCTGTCCTGTTCTGTCTTCTTTCCTTTCTCTTTTCTTTATGCTGGTAGTGGGGCTTGAACTCAGGGCCTTACACTCTCACTTGGCTTTTTGTGCACAGGTGGCATACTACCACTTGCGCTGTACCTCAACTTTCAGCATTTTGCTGGTTAATTGAAGATAAGAGTCTCATGGACCTTCCTTCCTTTCTCTCTCCCTTCCTTCTCTCTCTATCTCTCTCCTTCCTTCCTTCTTTCCTTCTTTCCTTCCTTCCTTCCTTCCTTCCTTCCTTCCTTCCTTCCTTCCTTCCTTCCTTCCTTCCTTCCTTCCTTTTCTCTCCTTCCTTCCCTTCCTTCCCGTCCTGGGCTTGAACTCAGAGTCTGGGCACTGTCTCTGAGCTTCTTTTGCTCAAGACTAGCACTCTACCACTTGAGCCACAGTGCCACTTCTAACTTTTTCTGTTTATGTGGTACTGAGAAATCAAACCCAGGGTTTCATGCATGTTAGGCAAACACTTTACCACTAAGCCACATCACATTCCAGCCCCTCTCATGGACTTTTCTGCCTGAGTTGGCTTCAAACATGATCCTCAAACTGAGTCAGCCTCCTGATTAGCTAGGATAATAGATCTGGGCCATTGGTGCCTGTTTGAAGACATTTTTAACTTGCAAGTCCTACAAGTTCATGTGTATGTGTAATTGGGATAGTAATATGCACCAAGTTATGTTATCTGTCTGCTAGAATCAAATAAAATCTTTGATTATTTACTCTTCTAGGAGCTGGGAAAATATGGTCTGCTGTATTATAATGCACTGTTTATGATTCTGCCCACCTTGGCCATTGCATATTTCACAGGAGATGCACAAAAGGTAGGACTTTCTTAAGGTTTAGTGACTTAGGTTTGTTAGTTACATTATTGTTTATGAACAAAAGATAGACTTTTGGGTTGTTAAAAAGAAATGTACTTATTAAGTGACCTTACACTGTGAATACTCTTTACTTTGCTAATATCATGCTAACCATGCTTGGCATAAAGATTGGACAGTACTAAAATGGCTCAAAATAGCCATGGTTGCCAACATAAAAATAGTGCATGCTAAGTAATGCCCTTTTCTTAAATGCCAGCATGGGGGAAAGGAAATTTTTACACTTATACTAAATTATAAAGGGGAATAGAAGCTTTGGGAAGCTTCTTTAAATCCTACACAAAATGTCAGCTATCAGTAGAATTCTTTGTTTACAGTTGTCAACGTGGTTTAAATCTCATATTGTTTTCTTTTCCTTAGAAGATACTTAGAATTGTGTAGTGCTCTGACAATATAAATAGTAACTGATAGACTTGTTTACCAATCTCTTACGAAAGTGTAGTTAAATAAATCCAGAATAGGGTAGTAAAATGAATCCTGAGGATTTTTCTCTAAAATAAGCTCATATTCATAGGAGGAAAGTTGATATTGTATTATAAAAATTCACAACATTTTGTAAACCTAAAAGGAAATCCAAAATTTTAACCAAGGTTTTCTGTTCTAAGATTCCTTCTAATTTCCCTGGCTTTTTCATAATAAATACATTAATCTTACAGAATAACCAGGTTTTTTTTTCAGTTTTTTTTTTTTTTCCTTTCCGGTCGTGGGGCTTGAACTCTGGGCCTGGGTGCTGTTCTTCAGCTCTAGGCTAGCACTTTACCACTTGAACCAAGCACTACTTCTGGCTTTTTCTGTTTATGTGGTGCTGAGGAATCCAACCCAGGGCCTCATGCATGCGAGGCAAACACTCTACCACTGAGCACTACTTCTGGCTTTTTCTGTTTATGTGGTGCTGAGGAATCCAACCCAGGGCCTCATGCATGCGAGGCAAACACTCTACCACTGAGCCATCTTCACAGTCCCAATTTCAGATTTTGGATAGTGGTCAGACTATTGAAAAGCTCATTTAGGTTAGTGAAAAATAAAGGCAATGTACTGACAACTTACAAAGCTTTATTTTTTTTAAATAAGACTTTTAAAGAACTGGCACAATTGATCTTGAATACATGTGTAAAATGTTGTCATGAATTGCTACCTGACTGCCAGCAGACTTAAACAGAACTCTACTGTAACCAGTAGTGTTCAGTTAGAACTCTGTGGCTATGAAGAAAATGGGATTGGAAGTTAACATTTATTGAGCCCATATTATATTCTAGTCACTTCATGTAGATAATATAATGTAGTCTTCACAATGATTGTAGGTTTAATTACCCTGTTTTACTGAGGTAGTGGATTCAGAAAGACTGAATGACTTCCCTAAAATCTTGGTGTTAGCAGGAAGTAGTGTCATAATTTAAACCCAAGCTCAATCTAGAGGTCATGGTCTTCTCACAGTGTTCTGCCTACTTCTATCAGATGCTGGCTCAAGTGCCCTTTACACTTCAGCTTTGTGGCAGGAATGCACTATAAACTAACCAGCCTTAGCCCAGTGCCCGTGGCTCACGCCTATAACTGGAGGCTGAGATCTGAGAATCATGGTTTGAAGCCATTCTGGTAAGCAAGTCCATGAGACTCATCTCCGATTAATCACAGAAAAAGCAGGAAGTAGAGCTGTAGCTCATATAGTAGAGCGCTAGCCTTGAGCAAAAGAAGCTCAGGGACAGCACTCAGGCTGAGTTCAAGCCCTAGGACTGGCAAAACAACAACAACAACAAAACACCCAAAATAAAAATCAGCCCCACACACATAGCTAGGCAGGTGGCTATAAATCTTGAGGACTCTGTACAGGAGAAAATTAGAAAAATGAATAAAGTTAGGTTTCCTAAAGACTTAGCAAAGATGGAATTATCACCTGGGTTTGACTTCATCAAGTAGCTTGTAGCTACTTGAATAATTGTCTAAAGGCGGTATTTCTTCATTCCAGAGTGATGACAGTTTACATAGAAGTTGTAACATAATTTATGCCTATTTTAGAGTTTGGTAATTCACATTCAGATGGAAATGCTTTAGTTTAAGAATGCTATAATTAGTGTGAAAAGTTACTTTACCACTTAGGATTAGATCTGGGATTTCTTATTCTTCTTTTTTTCCAGTTTTAAGTAGAAGAGTGGAATTTGCAGTCTGTTTTTTCCAGTGGAAGTGCTAGGCAAAGGCACTTTCAAGAAAGGTTTATTTTAGAGCTAGAGACCATAACCAAATTGGTTAGAACAGTTACTTACCTATATGAGACTCTGGGTTCAATCCACAGAACTGCAAAAGAAAAAAACATTTAATTTTTAAGAAATACAATGATTTTGGAGAATGTCAGTTCATCTAAAAATATTCAGATATTCAAGTTGGGCTGTTAAACTACTTATAGAAGTATTTTGAACTCATTATTTGGTAGTGGTACTGCATTAGTGTTTTAGGTTTCACTTTGTTTTTCATTCTCACTCTTACTGATAATTAATATATTACTTATAAAACATACATTGGGTTATAAGTGGACACACTGTCTTTTTTTATAATCCTGTGAGTTCTTTCTTAACATAGTTCCCCGCCACCCACTTTCAGTACTAAATTTTAAATTCGGGTCTCATAGTTGCTAGGCAGGTGCTCTACCACTTCAGCCATGCTCCAGCCTAACATTCTGTCCTTACTATAATTCTCTCTGACACATTGTGTTACAGTTACAGGCTATTGTGTGTTTCATTACGTTAGACTCAGATAATAGAAAAAGAAGAATGAATTAAGTGGTATTCTTACCTTTTGAACACTATCCAGTCTTTCTGGGAACCATTGGCTAACCTAAGGACAACATGCTGATACAGATTCTATGGGAGAAGCAACTTAGGGGTGTCCATATACAAGGCTGTAAAATAGAAGTAGATCAGTTCTACCCATTTGTTGGGATTGAGGGTAGATTGTTTCATGGAGATTTGCCTGGAAACAAAATTAAAATGTTATTGTGGAATGATAGATTTGTTTTGGTAGGTTATAAGCTCCGACTTGCAAAGTGAGAGATGTTTGTGTTCTTAAATGCCTAGTAAGCTTATGAGACAAGTCACTATAATTTTATTCTAAGTTCAAATCCGATTGGTATTTCTGAGCATCTTTCTTGTGCTAAGAAAAGCTATTTTAACTTCTCTTAGGAGAGCATGAGAAATGCCACGTAACGTTCGTCATACAGGGAGGGCATTTGGCATGGTTCTGAGATGGTGTAAAATCTATCACCAAAGTGCCATGCCTGTCAGTGCATTCTACAAGCATTCAGGTTAGGAAAGATTGGTGTAGGTTGAATTTGTATTGGTGTAGGTTGTATTTGCTGTTCAGTGGAAACAATGCAACACATAATTCTGATCTGCTTGAGGGCCTGTCATGGTCATGTGGCCAGGTGTTTTACTTAGAAATGGTGGGTGGGGGGCTGGGAAGGTGGCTCAGTGGTAGAGCGCTTGCCTTGCATGCCTGAGGCTCTGGGTTTGATTCCCCAGCACCACATAAGCAAAAAGGAAAAAAGCCGGAAGTGGCATTGTGGCTCAAGTGGTAGAGCGCTAGCCTTGAGCTGAAGAGCTGAGGGACAGAGCCCAGGCCCAGAGTTCAGGCCCACGACTGGACCCAAAAAAAAAAAAAAAAAAAAAGAAATGGTGGGTAGAAGCTTACATGACTTAAGGTTTTCAGGAGGGTTTTAGTAGTCTAAAAGAATCTGAAGTTTCCACTGGAAAGTGGAAAGAATTTGAACCTTCCTCTGGAAGATTTAGTTTCCTGTGTTCAGTGGTCTGTTAGAAGTCTTGTTAGAAAGACTTTTCATGTTCAAGAATGGGATATATAGCAAGATTTCAGGTAAGACTTTTCTAATAAGTCAGGTTCATTGTCAGTATATGTCCCTTGGAAGTGTGCATATTCTTAAAATACAGATGAATATATATGAATATACATATATATATACATACATATATGCACATGCAGTCATGCACACAAACAAACATGCATCTATATGCATCCATTTGTTTTTGATGAATGGACACTGTTCTATGGCACTTTAAATAAGGTTGTTATCAAATAGTTTAAGCTTGTTTCTAGTGGTTGGTAATACTTTCTTTAGAGTACAGTGTCTTGTACATGACAGAATGCTTCCATATAAGTCATTTTCCTTGATCCTTGATACATACCTGTTAGGGACATGCTCAGGGCTGCACAGTAGCAGCATTTAAACTGGCACCATTTTGACTGACTCCAGAGCCCTTGTGTGTTTGCCTGATTACAAGCTTTCCCACAGTATTCTGCTGACCCTGAATAACAGTGTCCTGCATTTTGGACTTCTGTGTAGTGCTTCATATAGCACAAAGTGTCAAATGTTAGCAACCGTATACTTAGTACTACTTAAAAGACTAGTAATAAAAATACTAATAATAAGAATACAATCTGGGGCTGGGAATGTGGCTTAGTAGTAGAGTTCTTGCCTACCATACATGAAGCTCTGGGTTCAATTCTTTAATACCATATAAACAGAAAAAGCCAGAAGTGATGCTGTGGCTCAAGTGGTAGAGTGCTAGCCTTGAACAAAAGAAACTCAAGGGTGGTGCCCTGGCCTTGAGTTCAAGCCCCAGGACTGGAAAAAACAAGTCTGCTACTTGTCCTTGTCTACTTAGTTATCTATAATCATAATTCCTTCATTCAATGAATATTAAATGTTATACGTCAAGTGCTATTCTAATCACAACAGAAAGACCATGTACCTGTTTAAGCAGAGCTTGAATTCTAATGGATGAAATAGACTATACATAAAGTGTGTAGTAAGTGCTCTGAAGAAAAATAAAGTTAGGAAAATGATAGAGAAGTGTTATTTTAGATACCATGGTAAGGGAATTATCTTTTAAAGGCCCATTTGAGCAGACACACAACTAAAACAGACTGAGAGACTAGTT